AGGAAAACACTGCCAGAATTTTCTCAGGGTCTAGTGTCTTATTAGATATAGCTAGTTACAAAATGTGTTACCGCCTATGATGAAAATACACTTGTTATCTTAGACCAAATCAATTAAAAAAAAACTAAGCCAAGCTAGATAACCATTGTTATTGGAAGATCTATTTGGGTCCCAGTTCCAAAAACTAATGTTAACTTGGCATTTTTAGTTAAATTTGCTTGGACACATTGCAACAATTCTTACACAAATAATGACTACTGATTTTCTAATCTACTAGACTTTTTCTGATCCAGAATAATAACCAGAGTATTTTGGCTGTGGTCAGTGTATTAAATACTGCATAATTCTTTGATCTTGTGGTCTCCAGGTAAAATAGCCATATCACAACCAGCTCTTTTGGCATGCCACAGCATCTATTACAGTCTCCCAATTCTGTAGCCTACAATATGCCCACTAGTACATGTAAGTGCCTCTAAATGTAAATCGTTATGGTAAATAATTGATCTTAATTGAGAGAGACATCAGGGAGATGTTTTCCGGTCTCTCTCATAAGTGATAGGCATGAATTTGCCTTTAACAATCTTTCTTCAATATCTTTTGTCTTTCTACAGACCACTGTATGGATAGAAACCAGAAAAGACTTGTATAAAACCAACAGTGCAATCCTAAACAGAGTTACACCCCTCTTAGCCCATTGGGCAATGCACTCAGAACAGTGTGACCACTTTTGATGGCACTATTATTTTATTATTTATCATATGGCAGAATCACACACAGGACGCATATAATATAAAATGCACAACCAAGTTAATACAATGGGTATGCAGACCGATTGGGCAATCCCCCTAAATACTAATACCTAAACTTTCAATCCACTCAATCACAGCTGTGGAGAGATCAAAGAACTTGGTCACATCTCCCTGGAAAGCACAACGCTCACATTCCTGTGACAGATGGAAAATAGTTTGGCGGCCTGCACCACAATTGTATTCATGTCCAGGTATTTTGCCCCATTTAAACAACAGGTCTGCACAACTGCCAAAGCCTGTTTGTATTCTATTAGCTGTCTTCCATTCTTTACACGGCAAGTCAAATCCTGCAGGCCTCTTGATGGTGTTTATCAGGTTATGGATACCAGGTGAAACCGACTGCATCTATGTTCAGAACCATTCATTCCTTAGATCGAAATTTTGTGACTGCAGAATTTGTGCAGATCTTATTGCTGGGTGTTGGGATCTTAGTCTGGATAGGCCTGCATCAGGCATGTCTTTGTGGATAGGTAACTCTCTGTTTTCAATAACCTTTCTATATTTATGAAGAAGAGCATCTTGTCTTCAGAGATGTAGAGGAGCGATGCGGCACAACATGGGTAGATAATATGATGGAGTGGGTTTAATGCATCTGCTGATGGTTCTCATTATCGGGCATCAAGTTTGTGGACATGGGGGCTGTTGAGCTACACTGAAGCACCATATTTCGAACTATTATACACCAACCCAAAGCTGAGCATCTGAGTGCAATTCTAGCTCGCCTCCTCATGGTGCCCCCTGGATAATGCTAAAGAGCTAGAACTTCCGCCTGCCAGACAATCGTAGGATCTCCTGGCTACACTATGCAGATGAAAACAATCAACCAATTAAACAGTCCTTCTCAGAACTACTTGAAAAGGGGTATACGAGACTGCATCCTAATCTGCCAAATGAATATTCAATGGCACTGCTCATCATACATGCCAAAGGCACTGCTTTGCAGCAGTCTCCCGCCTTTACTCCTGTTTTGTCTGTATTACCACTAAGTTCCAATTGCTAAACCAAGCAATGGATATCCCCATCTCATAACTCCGATAAAATTAAATGTAATCATTAATCTTGCTTTGGGGTTTCTATGTATCAGTAGTCAGTTCCAAGGAGAATGAACCAGCACAGTAAGTACCAATGTGCCAATTACTGAGCTATGCTGTTTGATGGATACCCCTGAGCAATACCCTCCCCCTCGAGGGTATTCAGCCCGATCCATTAGGAGGACAGCCACTTCCACAGCCCTGGAAGCCTGTACTTCCATGGGGAAGTTATGTAAGACGATTATTTGGCCCAGTCCTACCTTCCTACACCCTACAAGGCAGTCAAGTGGACATCTTTGGATACAGCCCTTGGTCACCGAGTCCTGCAGCAGATAGTGCAGGAAGATTAAGCCTGGGGACAGTATGTTTTGTAACATCCCCACACATCCAGGTCTCCTAGTCCTTCCAAGGGAGAATGGCACATTGGTACTTACCATGAACGCAGAGGCACCGTAGAGGTGCAGAAGGACAGTAGAAAAAGAGGGAAGTTCCCTGATGTGATTAACCCATTTGTTAGTCTGGGTTGGATTCTGTAGCTGTGTTTACTAAATGTTTCAGATTATGTCATGTGCCAGGTGACCTATGGAAGCTTCCATACTGAATGCGAGATGGGGGAACTCCTCCCCTCCGGAACAATAAAGCTGAATTTCCTGCCACCAAAAGTGGAGGGAAGGGAGTTCCCCACACATTCCTGGTCTCCTAGTTCTTCCAAGGGAGAATGGTATACTTCACCAAGCAGATCAATAACAGCAGACAAGT